ACATGGTTACATACCTAAAGAATTACATACCTGCACCCTGATGAATATGTTTTGTGTCAGATTTCAGACACATGCCCTCCTGTATGTACATGGCAAAACATTAGCTTACTTTTCTATGGCTCTTGCTAGCATTTGCTTGTAGAGGCTACATTGGGAAAAAACAGCATCACAATTATTTATAAGTGTCTCGATGTACAATGGTTAAGAGTTCAACTGTGAATCCAAAGGTTGGTGGTTTCAACCAGTCCAGTGGCTTTACAGAATGTGGGGTCAAGATTGGTGGAAAATCTGTCAACAATCTGAATTATTCCATGGGACAGTTCTGCTCTGTAATGTCAAGTTATCATGAGTCAGAATTGATTTGATGGCATGGAAAGATGGATGGTTAGTGTTCATCCAGTGGTTCCATCAAAGAAAGATCTTAAAGATTTTCCAATGGTTTTGAGTCAATTTCTACTCCAAGCAACCCTACATGAATAGTATAACAACCCTAGTAGAGTTTCCAAGGTCATAATCCTCACAGAAGTTCACTACCACATCTTTATCCCTCAGGGCACCTGATGGATTCAAGTTAATGACCTTCTGGTTAGCAGAATCTAACCTCTATACCACCAAGTTGCCTTCCGTGGAGATTGCAAGCTAACAGTTGCTACAGGGCAGTTCTACAGGTCAAACAAAGCCTGTTTTCATGCCAAAATGTCATTTGGTGAGACAGTGTGGAAATATCAATAATTTATTAACATCAAAATCGTGTAGAAGGGAGGGAAGCTGAAGATGAAATTATTCCCCATTTGACTTCCGTCTCCACAAATCCCTGAATTATTTCAACAGTGTCCCACTCAATTTCATCTCCATCTGTGATCTCAGAATGTGATCTTCTGGGACTCAGGTCTTTGCAGATATATTTAGTGAATATGAGGTCATCTTGGAGGAGGGTAGATCCTAATTCCATGACTGATGTCCTTATGAGGAGAAAAAGGGAAGACAGAGAGAGTCACACCCACACAGGGAAGAGGGCATGTGCCAAGGGGGGCAGACACCGGAGTGATGAGCTAAGCCGAAGAGCACCCCCAGGCTTGCCAGTGAGGTAGACAAGGAAGTTTTGTTTTCTTCCTCAAACCTGCAGAGAAATGTGGTTCTACTGAGCCTTGATACCGGGCTTCTGGCCCCCTCGGCTGTGTGAGAATGGATTTTCATTGTTTTAAACCATCAAGTTTGCAACACTTTTTAAAGTGGCCCTAGAAAATGAATGTACTCACTATCCTGGCTCTAAGCAGCCCTGATGGGGAAATAGTTAAGCATTTGGTTAGCCATTTGAACCCACCCAGCAGCTCACTAGGAGAAAGGCCTGATGTTTGCTCCTGTAAGAGTTGCAGCTTAGAAAGATTTACGAGATATTCTTATTTTAGCGCCTGGGTTTTTGTCTAAATCCACAGCACGCAACAATGGCAATAAACTGGCTTTAATTGGAGGCTTTTTCTACTGCAATCAATCATGTGCTTTATGCAAAGCGGGCCTGTAACCATGGCACCAGCTCTGGGACTCATGAACCCTATTATCTGGATTAGTATTTCTCTTTTGCCCTTTAACAGTGGTGAAGAAATGAAATCCCTGCAGAGAATAACTAGGATCCAGTAGAGGTCAAGTAAGTGGTTGGAAGCGAGGGTCCAGAGTAGTGGAAGAATATGCCTTTGGCCCATAGAATGAAGACAAAAGGAATTTAAGCCTCCGTAGACTCACTCTTCAAAGACAAGTCTTCGAAGTTTACTTTTAACACACTCTTTTTGTTTTCTTTCTTACTGTAAAGACATTAACAGGAAATATGAAAATGTAGATAATCCTATAGAAAAGAGACCCACCCATCATTTACCAGAACAGCCACTTTTTTCCTTTTTTAATGGAGCTTTAGGGAAGGGTGGAAGATCCTCAACCAGGTGTACTGACGTGGTGACTGCCACAATGGGCTTTCTTATCAGGAAGTGTGAGGATGGTACAGGAAAGAACAGGGTTCATATCTTTTGCTCATAGGGTCATTGTGACAACAAGAGGTGTAGTCAGGTGTAATCAACCCTGGAGAGGGTGAAACCAAGCTGCTCCTTGGAGGCAAGGATTTTGAGACTCCATCTCACATACTTTGGTCATCTAGCCAGGAGGGGGTCAGTCTTTGGAGAAGGATAACATGTTTGGAAGGGTGGAGGGACAGCGCAGGAGGGGAAGACCCCTGATGAGCTGGATTGACACAATAACTGGGGTAATGAGGGTAGGTGTGTGAGAGACAGTGAGGTTGCCTCAGGATAGAGCAGGGTTCAGAGCTGTGGTGCAGAGGGCCGCTGTGAGTCACAAGTGACTCAATGACGCATAACACAGCGGGATAGACTGTGGTGTGTTGTGTTTCTAACCCCCAGACTGTACTTCTCTGGAGGTTCAAATCCATCAGGAACCACCTCCTCCCTCGAGATTTATACCCTTTGGCAACCTGACAGAGGGAAATCAGAACCAAAACCAACTCTAGAGCAGTAAGTGATTGAGCAAGCCGTGTTGAGGGGCCTTGAATGTCATCTTATGGAGGTAACAATAAGAAATGACTATTTCAAATGTTGCTTTATAGTGCGTTTCTTTAATTAATGAGACATTATGATCCTTCTAAGTCAAGAGATGAACACCTAAAATATCACTTTACTGTTGTTGTTGTTGTTATATGCCGTCGGGTTAGGTGCCCTCAAATCTAGTATGGCTCACAGTGACCCTAGGAATAACAGACCGGAACCCTGTCCTATTCTGTGTCATCCTTGTCACCACTGCTACACCTAGACCCATTGCTTCCATCACTGTGCCAATCATTTCGTTAAGGGTCCTCTCTTTTGCTGACGCGTCACCTTTCCAAGCATGGTGTCCCTCTCCAAGGAATAGCTTCTTCTAGCAACATGCCCAAAGTATGTGAGATGAAACTTTGTCGTCTTTTTCTCCAAGGAGCACTCTGGTTGCAATTTCTCCAAGACATACCTGTTTGTTCCTTTGGCAGTCCACTCAGCGCTCTTCTCCAACACTACAACTCAAAGGCATCAATTCTTCTTCTGCCATCTTTATTGTCTACTCTCAGATGCATAGCAAGTCATTGAAAAGACCATAGTCTGATTCAGGTACACCTTAGTCTTTATATTGACATCATTGCTCCTCAGCACTTCAGAGAGGAACTTGACAGCAGATTTTCCCAATGCAATATACCTTTTGATTTCTTGACTGCTGGTACCACGGGTATTGATTGTTGATTCAAGTAAGATGAAATCAATGACAATTCCAATTTTTTCTTCATCTACCGTGAACTTGTCTGTTGGCCCAGTGATGAGGATTTTTGTCTTTTTGATGTTTGGATGTAATCCGTAGTGAAGGCTGTAGTCTTTGATCTGTAGCAAGCATCTCAAGTCCTCCTTACTTTCAGCAGCAAGGTTGTGTCTTCTGTGTAATATATTCCAACACATAATGATACCAAAAACCCTTGAAAAAAATCCCAAACTCACCCAGTGAGTTCCAACTCATAGCCTCCTCCGTTAGTTTCTCAGGCTGTCAATCCGTAAGAGAAGTGACTGTCCGTTTTTCTGTGAAAAGGGGCCCACCTTTTGGCTAGCAGCCAGAGAGGTTGCACACTACATCACCAGAGCTTCATAAAGAGCGAAGACAAAAGAATCAAATTCATAGCAATGGAGTAATTTCTGCCTCAAATGCTTTTTCACCAGTTTCTGGGCTGCAAATCGTTTCTGGAGGAGACAGCTCATCTTCCTCTGCTGGAAGCTGGTGGTTTGTAACAGCAGACTTAGCAATGAGCAGCTTTGAATGTTACATGCTAGTAACAGATGGAGGAGGCATCCTTCAAGCATTCTGGCTCCGTGTCAGGCATTTCTCTCTGTGTCCCTCCTCGCTGCTCCTATCTGATGTTCCGCTGGGTTTCCCAGGCTGTAAATCACCTGGGTGGAAGGTGGTGCATACTTCTCCCTCAGAGGCATAGGTGGGTTCCAGCTACCAGAAGGTTGTGGCCTTAGAGTTAGCGGTTCAATTCCTGGCCACACCACTAGAGCTCTCTATGTTTTTAGCCATCAGACAAATTGAGGATGGCAGTCTTTAGATCAAATTTTGAGATGCAGCAACTCTGTTGTGCTGCAATGAAAGCATTGCTTTCACCCTGCTTTCATCACAGTGCTCATGGGACTGCTGTTGTTAAACACCATTGAGTCTGAGCTGAATCATTGCTGTCCCATTCCAGTTTGTTTTCAGAAGCAGTTTATCACAAGGGAGGAAATTGCTCCTCTTTCTCCCATGGAGGAGCTGGTGGGTTCGGACTTACTGCCTTTGTGTTAGCAGTGCATGAAGTTCTTTACCAATATGTCACTAGAGCTGGCCGCTGATGGGATGGTGGGATGTGTGTGTGTGTGTGTGTGTGTGTGTGTGTGTGTGTGAATTATCTCATCTTTAGAACATTTTTTACCCTCTGGATTACATGTTACTTCAATTTACAAATACTAGGTTAGCCCTGGTCTGTCCACTTGCTGTACAGAGGTAACTTGTGGCTGCTATGAAGCTGAACACTGTGACACTGATGTGTCAAGTGTGAGAATGGTTACTCATGATGGACAGTGTTTGGTGGAGCTCCTCGATTAAAACAAGCTTGGAAGCAGGAGTGGCATCCACTTCTGTAATAGCTTGCCTCCAGAAACCCTATGAACTTGGAGCAAGGATTAAAGTTATACAAGTGTCCAGGTCTTTCGTTCATAGGGTTGCTATGAGTTGCATATGACTTGATGGCACTTAACAACAACAGCAACAACAACATGTTAAAAAAAATCATGGAGAATCATTTAAAAAAAGAGGAAGATCCTTAAGGAGAAGGAGTGACATAGGGCCTGCAACAACAGGTAGGAATTGTAAGACAAATTGAAAGCACAGTAGGAGTTGTAAAGATGGCACAGGACCGGGCAGGATGTCATCTGTCTTATAGAGGGGTCACCATGAGCAGGCAAATCACTGACATCTAACAAGACGATATTCAGTAAACTTTAATCAATATCTCTTACTAGCTTAATAGGATTCTCATTTGAATGTCAGTAATGCATAGATTATTTTTCTGAACAAAATGTAAAAAAAAATAATAACTTACATGAACAAATCTACTAGTGAAGGGTGGGTGAGACAGCCTCTTCCCTACCTTCACTTGTTTGTTAAATTTTCTGTCTTGCCTTAAAGAGTAAGTCAGGGGAGAAGGTAAGAAGTATTCATTGCAGACAGGCTTTTTCCTTGATCAGTTAAAACCTAGTGACTGGGTATTTTCATTGTACCCATTGCCCTCTTCAGCTCAAGTCAGAACAGACAAATCAATTTAAACGTAATGTTTTTGGATATTTATGAGGGGAAATGTTTGGAAGCCGGAGTGGCATCCACTTCCTAACCAGCACACCTCTGGAAACGCAATGTGCTTTGAGAGACAACAGCAATAGTTATAGAAAGAAATGCTTCAGGTCTTTTGTTTATAGGGTTGCTATAGTTGTGCTTGACTCAACAGCAATAGTCAACAACAACAATGACATTCTTATTGACAGGAGGACTGCTAGGAGCTGGAACCGGCTTGTTGGCACTTAAACAATAACAACATATCACTCTGAGAACAAGTCCATTACAGTTAAGTTCCCTACAGATCTGGAGATGGTGACACCAACTTGCTGTCCTTGAGTCAATTTCAGTTCAGAATGTCGCTCTCTCAGCTTTCTGCAGCTGTACATTTTTACGAGCACTTGACCCTCTTTCTGGTGGATTACCAACTTCCAACCTTGCGGCTGCCGGCAGTCTGATGGTTACACTGTACATTACTAGGGCATGAAGACAGAAAGTGAAACAACATGGCCCACGTCACACCACTAATACACCCTGAGGTTGGAATTCTGCTCGGGCTGTCACTGGTGAAGCGTCATTGAGTGGTCCGGTGACTTGGAGAGGTGTCACTGGATAAATAGCCAGGTTCTGGTGTTGGAGGCTGTACAGCCAGTGTCTTCCTTAGAGGCAAGGATGGTGAAACGTCCTCTCATGTCCTTTGGGCATATTGACAGGAGAGATTAGTCCTTGGAAAAACACATTATGCTGGGAAGGGTGGAGGTCAAAGAAAATCCTCAGCAAGCCACAGTGATTATGACAATAGGCTCAAACATATCAGAAATCATGAAGATGGCTCAGGGTAGCACAAGATTCAGATGTGTTCTTCACAGGGTCATTATAAATCATGGTGGACTTGAAGACACCCAACAACTGCTACAACTCTTCCTGCCTCAGCCTTTTCCCCTACCCTCTAGCGACTGAAAGTTGTGTTAGAAGTGGCATTTTTATTAGGGGGGTTTTGCTTAATTAACAGCAGTGGTTAAGAAGTGGGCTGTGGTCCTCAGGGAATTTGGGTGATCTCATATAAGCTCCTGCTTGAGTGGTCAGGAAGCTGAGCTGTTCAGAGTCCTGCAGTGACACAGGGGGTTAGATGTCTTCCCTGACTCTCAGGATGAGTCCCGAGGCTCCAGGAAGCTCTGGGCTTTCTTTGGGGCTTGACTGCTGTGCTGCCCACCCAGTGCTATTTGTGATGCTCTTGGCTGGCATGCTAGTGACGAGGCTGCTAAACTCACAGTGGGCCTCCAGGCTCCCTGGGACATCTCCCATCCATACAGCATGCAAAGGCTGGGTGCTGGCCTCTAGGTGGCCATTGACAAGGTCAACTTAGAGATGTCTCATCTGGAAAACTTGAGTTGGGAGTTCACGCATACTAAAACAGACTGCAGCATCAAGGAATCCCTAACTGTTTTCATCAAACAGGTCCAGAGAGAAAGGATTGCAGCTTTGTCTGGACCAGCATACCCAGAAGCAGTAGAGGTAGAGTATACAGCCTTTCAGAGATTGGGGTCAAGTTCCCACTGGAAGTTAGTAATTTTAAAGATGATGGTACAGGTGTAAATAACCTCTTGACAATGAGTGCATTTTTATTCAGTAACTGTAATTATCAGATATAATTTCTCGATAATATAATTAGACTTTGTAATAAAACAGCGTTCTCTTGAAAGAGAAACCTTTCAAATCACTCTTTCTCTCCTTTCACTATAGTGAGAACTTTGAAGCTGCTGTGTGTAGACACATTCTTCATATTAGTGCTGAGTCATATGACTCAGGAAAATAAAAAAAGAAAACTACTGCTTGTATTTTAATAGAAAATTACCATTTGTTTACATTTCCCTTTGGTGCATATGATAAATTATTCAGTGATGGTGAAAGGAAGTGAGGGAAAAAACCTCCAAATATGACAGATTGCAAACGCTAGAGAAAGAGAATCAGAGAAATGAATGATTTGTATTTGTTAACTAATGGGATGCATTTTGTTGATGTTCTTGGGTGTTGTGTGATCTGAGAAGTGTTGATGGAAAATCTAAATAGGAAGAAATATCACAGTCTTCCCCTTCAAAAATACTGCCAAGTTGTCGTTGGTGCTTGCTAACTGTGAAATTACTTTAGCATTTGAGTCTTGGCTTCTGGAATTCCCTATTGGGCACGTTTAGAGCAGTCCAAAACCTACTCATTCTTCAAAGTCAAGCTCAAATGCCACGGAGCGTTTTCTATTCTTCTATTTCTATCCTCCCTCTCTCTAATTCCAAATCAGAAGCAATTTCATATATGAACCAAGAATTTTACTTGACATACTTGGGGCATGTTTCCAGGAGGGACCTGTCCTCAGAGAAGGACACCATGCTTGGAAGGGTACAGAGAGGAAGGCACTAGAGGAGATAGATCAACACAGTAACTGGGGAATGGAGTTGGATGTGTTGAAGCCAGGGAGATTGGCTCAGGATAGGACAGAATTCAGAGCTATTGAGCATAGGGTTGCTATGAGTGGCTAGTGACTTGACTACACACAACCACATTTATCGTCTAGAAAATCTGAAGGGGTGGCCTTGTGGTAAGAAGCTGTACTGCAATCCCAAAGGCACACAGTTTAAATACACCAGCTGCTTGGTGGTAGAAGGATGGACAATCTTCCCCCATCAGATTCACTGCCTCTGAAAACCCACTGGAGGGTCAGCTATGTGTTGAACAGGCTTTATGGCATGCAACAACAGCATATTTCTCTCTAGAGCTGTATCGTATCTATACATTTGAGCTCTTTCAAATGCAAGTTCTGCAAAGTTTGTTGTACATGGTTGCCTCCTAATGAATAGGGAATGAGAGGTGAAAAATGAATGAAGAAAAGAATAATGTCTAGAATAGAGAGCAGTGAGTGGGCTTTGGGACCAGATTTTCTAAATTCCAAATCTAAGTCTATTATTTGTCAGTTGTGTTGCCTTAAAGCAGGTAAGTTCTGTTTTTATACCTCTACATTTTTGTCTAGAAAATGTTGACACACACTTACTACACAGAAATATTTAGATGAGAGCAAAAGCTCTTAGTAAAGTGTTTGACATACAGTTGCTGTTGTTGTTAGGTGCTGTCACATTGACTACAGCTCATAGCTACCATGTCAACGATAGATCTGAACCTTACACTATGTGGCACAGTCCTCATGACCACTGATATGTTCAAGTCCATTGTTACACTCACGGGGCCAATCAACCTTGTTAAGGATCTTCCTCTCTTTCTCTGACTCCCTACCTCTCTCAATGTGATTTATTTTTTAAAAGACTGGTCCATCCTGAAAATAGGGCCAATAATATAAGACTGTTTCACCACCCATGTCTCTAAGGAACACCTTGGTTGCACATACTCCAAGACAGACTTGCTTATCCTTTTGACCATCCACGGGATATTCAGTGCTCTTCTCCAACATCACAATTCAAAAACATCAATTTTTCTTCTGTCATTCTTATTCACTGTCCAGTTGTCTGAAGCACAGGAAACAGTTGAAAATATCATGGCTTGAATCAGATGCACCTTAACTTGTAAACTGACATCCTTGCCATTCAGCACTTTAAACAGGTCCTTGATGGCAGGTTTTCCCAATGCAGCATGTCTTCGGATTTGACTACTGTTACCATGGATGTTGTTTGTGAATTCAAACAAAATGAAATCGTTGACAATGTCAATCTTTTCTCCGTCATGAGGTTGCTTATACATCCAGTCGTGAGGGGTTTTGTCTTTTTGATGTTGAGATGCAATCTATACTGGAAGCTATAGTGTTTGATCTTCTCTAGAAAGTGCTTCAAGTCACTTTCAGCAAGCAAGGGTGTATGTCATTTGCATAATGCAGGTTGTCGATGAATCTTCTTCCATTCCTGATGTCACATTTCTATTTATAGTGTCCAGCTCCTCATATGATTTTTCTTAGCATAGTTGAAAAATGTTGAATAGTTACAGAGAAAGAATACAGCCACGACACACACCTATCTTGATTTTAAACTATGCAGCCATGCGGTGTTTCCTTATTCTGTTTGGATTACAGCTTCTTGGTATAAATATAGGTTTTGAAAGATGGCAGAAGAATAATTGATGCATTGAGTTATGGTGTTGGGGATGAGTACTGGATATTCTATGAACTGCCAAAAGAACAAACAGATAAGTTTTGGAGAAAGTGCAACCAGCATGTTTTTGGAGGCAGAGTTGCATATTTTGGGCCTGTTGTTACGAGAGTCTATTCCTTGGATAGGAACATAATGCTTGGGAAGGTGAGGGTCAGCAAAGGTGAAGATGACCTTGAACAGTCAGATTGATGCAATATCTGTGACAATGGACTCAAATGTGTCAAGGATGATGAGGATGGCTCAGGACAGGACAGAGTTCAAGTCTATTGTTTATGGGGTTGCTATGAGTGGTACTCAACTTGATGGCACCTAACAAAAAACAACAACTGTAACACGAACACAATTAACTGTTCTGAGATTCCTATTCTCCTCAATGTTAGCTATAGCTAAGATCCACACAGTCAAATGCCTTTGCATTGTCAATAAAGCACAAATCGACATTCTTCTGTTATTCTTCGTTTTCAGTTAGAATCCATCTGATATCAGCAACAAGATTCCCGGTGCCACAGCTTCTTCTAAACCCAACTTGAACTTTCAATAGTTCTCTGCCAATATACCATTCTAGCTGATGTTGGATGGTCTTCAGTAATTTTTTTTGCATGTGATATTATTGATATTGATAATTTCCACATGCTGAATAACTCATAGACTTGTTGAATTTATTATCTACACACATACTTTGCTGGGAATTTTGAGTTTAGCATAAACTCAATTATGGAAAGATATCTTTTTGGTTACTTTCAAGGTTATTGGTTTGCTGGCCTCTGAGTGGAACATCCCCATGTTTGACTTTGTTGGACAAACACCCAAGCTGGAGAACGACTTTTTGTATGATACGTACGTGAAACTTGTGCTACCCAGGCAGGAAATGGGCAATGTGCTCCAGAAAAGTCTCCAGTTCCTGGGATGGAAGAATACTGGGGTCCTTGGAGGCCATTCAGGGGCTTCTTCCAGAGATGGAGTGGATGAGTTGTGGAAGGTTGTAGAAAACAAACTCAAATCCCATTTCGCCATTACTGCTCAAGTGAAGTACACCAATAATGATGCAGCCCTCCTTCAGGAGAATCTTAGGAGCATATCATCAGTTGCCAGAGGTGAGTAGGCAGAATCTTCTGTTGCTTATATTTGAAGGGATGAATGGGAAAGGCCAGTTGAAAACACAAAGAAATCTTGTTTTTCTATGGATTGTAAAAGCAAGTGGGTACAGGACAAACTTAATATCAAGTCCAAGTTGGTGTCCTCCTTCACTCTACATCGGTAAGAGAAATTGCTATTATTCATTGTCGTTAAATTCTAAAGTAAATCATAACAAATTATGGAGAAATCCTAGAACACTTAATTGTGCTCATGTGAAACTTTGACCACAAAGTTATTGCCTGAACAGATTAAGGGAATATATATATATTGGGTTGTTTTCTTTCTCCATACCTACTCAATCTGAATGCTAAGCAAATAATTTGAAAAGCTGGACTATAAGGAAGAAGACTGTGGCATCAGGACTGGAGGAAGACTGTATTATGCAGATAGCACAACCTTGCTTGTAGTTAAGTGAAGAGGACTTGTAACACTTGCAGCAGAAAATAAAAAGACTACCACTTTCAAAAAAAAAAAAAAATTAAAAAAATTCTAAAGTAAAACTCCAGCTCCCTTAATGTTAATAATGCATAGAATAAGGTCTGGAAGCATCTTCCAGGTAGGCTGGGCCCTGGAGTTGGTAGTTGTTCAGACCATGGGCTATGTGCTCTTGGGTAAGTACCTTAACCCTTTGTGCATTAGATACCTTATCTATAAAAGAGAGACAACATGATAGACGTATGAAGATTAAATAAAATCAAGCCTGTAAAGTATGTAGCAACCACGTCTAGGCATAGTACTGGGTCAACATAAATGAGTCACGGTTTCTACTGTGCTTATAAGGATCTGCATTCAATTATGAATTAGTAAATGATTCTTATTCTTCAAATAAACTAGGGGCAGTCTGGCGTTGGGAAGTTTGGACTGTGGATCCCTTGGCTGGAACCACTTGGAGCTGCACCCCACCCCATCCTGTGCTTCTTTATGGCCAGCTTCCTCTCATTCTTCCAGACTCAGCCCCCCCTCCTTACAGAGGCCTTTACTAACTACTTGATGCATGTCCATTTCCCTTCCCTGCCAGGATCCCCTCACCTATGAATGCAAGCAAATTTGTGCCCCTTACTTCTCAGAATCTTAAATAGTCTCTTTAATCTGTTCCCTGATAGGCTGTTTGACAGCCTCCTCTGTGACCCTGTCTGTTCTCTGAGGGCAGAGACCTTTCTCTCTTACTCACTGCTACATCCCATGCCCAGCACAGTGCCTGGAAATTATTGAGGGACACAGCTAAACACAAGATGATTTTCCCAACTTAAAAACAAAATTAATGGCTACTTAATGTGCATGTTGTTGTTGTTGTTGTTATGTGCCATCGAGTCGCTTACTACCCTATGTACAACAGCTCTAAACTCTGCTCTGTCCTGTGCCAATCTCATTGCCTCCGACACACTCATCCTGATTGCCCCAGTCACCGAATCAATCCGTCTCCCAGAGGGCCTTCCCCTCCTGTGCCTGCCCTCCACCCTCCCAAGCATGATGTCCCTCTCCAAGGGCCGGTCTCTCCTTACAACATGACCAAAGTATGTCAGAACAAAGCCTCAGAATCCTTGCCTCCAAGGAGCAGCCCGGTTTAACCCTCTCCAGGATGAATCCGTTTGTTCTCTTAGCAGTCCATGGCACCTCAGCACTTTTCTCCAACACCAAAGCTCAAAGGCATCAGTTCTCCTTCTATCCTCCTTGGTCATTGTCCAGCTCTCTGATGCATATAAAATAAATGCTAATGTGCTTGGATGCAGCTCCCCTGACTTCTGAGAGCCCCTAACTTCGATTCCCCTGAGAACTCCTTCTGGTGTGTGGCTAAAAAAGTCAATATAACTAAAGAAACTAGGGCATAGAAATGTTCTCAAATTTTTTCCCCTTCTGTTCTGGGAAAACTGCAGAGAAGACTTCAGCTCAGTAGGGCAAAAGCTACCAGTTAGTATAGTGCTGGCTAGCTTCAAGAAGTATGTTCTCAGGGACTTGTTTAAGCATTCCTGTTTCCTAAAGCATGCCCAAGGAAAGACAAGGTTCAGGTCTCATTTGGAGTGGCTTCAGGCTAGGCTTTCAAAACTGTGCATGCATGCACATGTGTGTGAGAGCAGGGACCTCTGGCTGACTCTGTTTTCCTCTCTCCTAGTCATTATCTTGATTTGCAGCTCAGAGGATGCAAATGCTATCCTACTGGGTGCAGAAAAACTGGGGCTGAACACAGGAGAATTTGTCTTCATCATTTTCCGGCAGTTTGAGGTGGGTGCTGGTGACCGCTCAGGAGCTCTGATAATACAGGTATGGAGCACTTACTACGTGCCAGAATGTACTCCTTCGCTGAATACCCCTGAGTTGGAAGTGCTCCTGAACTTGAATATTAACATCAAGAGTCTGAGCGGAGAGAACTTGATCACTTTCCCACACAATTGTGAGTGGACGAGCTGGATCCTGAGTTTAGTTCTCTGCTAAGTCAGTAAACACCAGTTGTTTTGATTCCTACTTTCATTTTTTGAAAAAATGAACGTGAAATGTACGTGACATAAATGTGGTCATTTAAAAATGACATTCAGTACATTTAATACATTCTTGATGTTGTAAAACTACCACCACTGTTTAGCTGTAAAATATTTTAATCATCCCAGAAAGGAAATACTCTACCAATTAAGCAGCCTGCCTTCTTTGCAGCCTCTGGCAACCACCATTCTGCTCTGTCTCATAAATTTACTTATTCTGGGTGTTTCATATGAATGCAGATGTGCAATATGTGTCCTTTTGTGCCTGGCTTCTTTTTTCAGCGTACTATTTCTGAGGTCCATCATTGTAACACGTGTCAGGACTTCATCAAGCATATGGATTACGATTTGTTCATTCGTCCACTGACGTACATGCGGGCTAGTACCACCCTTTCATTTGTGCTCCTATGAATATACTTGTATAATGAATTACATATTTTATATGCATTATTGTCCTTGAGGGAGCTCTGGTGGAGTTAATCTGTGAGGATTTTCCCTATTAACTCAACAACTATGCCTTTCTGGTGGTCTGAACCCACCAGGAGCTCCTTGCAGGAAAAACATGGGTGATCTCTTCTCATATGATTTACAGCCTCAAGAACTCGCTGGAGGTTCACCTATGAGTTGTTTCAGACTTGATGGCAATGAGCTTCCCCCTCCTTTTAAGTCAGAACCAGCATTGGTATCCTCAATAGCCCTGTAATATAAATACAATTGTTATTGTTTTTGTTATGTGCTGTTGAGTAGGGACCGAATCACAGCTGACCTTTCAGCAGGTTCTCAAAGGCTGTAAATCGCATGAGAGGAGATTCCCCATCTTTCTCATGCAGAGTAGCTGGTGGATTTGAACCACTTGTCTTTGGGTTGGCAGCACAACTTTATACCCACTAGACCACCAGAGCTCCCCAGAAAGTATTAGCTTCCCATATTAAAGGTGGAAAAACTGAAGCTTAGATAAGTAAGGAACTCAGAGCTCCTAAGGGCATTATGCAGGACTTAGTGAGGCCAGGCTGTCTGGGAATGCTTCAGATATGAAAGCTCTTTTCAGACTCACAATGGCCTGATGGAGTAGGCACATTTATCCCCGTCAGTTTACAGATGAGGAAAGGCTCAGAGAGGTGAAACAGCAGGCCCATAGTCACACAACTAGCACTGTTTTTCCTAAGCACTATTGAGCTGACTCCAACTCATAGTCACCCCACGTACAACAGAGTGAAACCCCCACCTCCTAATCCTGCACATCCACCCAACTATCATGGGAGAGCTAATATTCCAACCCAGGTGGGCTGACCTAGTGTCTGTGCAGGCAGCCATCACTCCAACTGCAACTCAAATTCACTGCTGTTGAGTTGATTTCAACTCCTACTGACGCTGACTCTCTATCACGTTTTTGAAGCTGTATATTGACAGTGAATAAGACCATCCATGTCTCTACCAGTGAGTGGCCGGCGCCACTAGCAACACTTTTAATCAGGGAGCTCCACCAAACACTGTCCACTATGTATAACCATTCTCACATTTGACACAGCAGTGTCACAGTGTTCAGTTTCACAGCAACCATGAGTTACCTCTGTACAGCAAGTGCACACACCAGGGTTATAACCTAGAAGAATGTTTCACCCAAACAAGTAAAGGCAGGCCTGAGGGCTGTGGATTAGAGTCACCCACCTTTGGCTTGGGAGCGCGGCTTTCTGTTCACTAGGCCAACTGACCTTTCTTTATGCTGTTGTCGTTGTTGTTGCTGTTGTTGTTAAGTGCCATTGAGTCGGAGGCGACTCATAGCAAACCCATGAATGAAAGACCTAGCCTCTAGAGAGAAAGCCTTTGTCACTTTGTCCTAAACCTGGATGACCGAACTGCAACTGGTTTGCAATGGTAGAGAGAATGTAGAACTAAAACAGATACCACATAATGTCCGTACAATTGAATTCAATGCTAATTTAAGAATGGCCTAAATCCATTCTACAGATGCCTTCCCAAAATAGGTTAAGGAGAGAAGAGAATCCACTTGCAGGACAGCTTTCTAGTTTTATATTGTAAGAAGAACCATATTCACCTGCAGAGACACACCCATGCATAGATATACCCACACACAGATACACACACATAGATACACACAGATCGCTGCACATGCACACAATGGCATGGACACCCAATAGCAAATGAGGCAGAGGTAGGGAAATTTGAAGAGTTCTAGAGCATTTCACTTACTGGGAAATCCAGAACTGGTAGAAAGCTTTCAAAGAAGGAAAATGCAAATATTTCTCACTAACAGAGTCAGGGGAAAATGAACCCAAAGATAGAAAACTTTTCAGGCCTGTAAAACAAAGCAATCCTACTGAATTCTAACTATCTTAGAGTTCACCATATATATGTACAATGGATGGAGCTTGCTTACTTTATAGTAGTAACATAGATAAGAATGACGAATAACAAAGCATAGAAGCTGCAAACTGACTCAAACAGGTTGTTGTTGCACAGACAACCTTAAATATGTCATGGTCTTGCCACCTGTTCTTAGAAGATGAAAGTGATAAAAACGTAAAGCATTTACTGAACAAGATTAAAGACTACAGCCTACAAAATGGGTTGTATCTTAACACCAATAAAAGAGAAATCACCATCACTGGACCCATAGGCAACATCATGATTGAGGGAGAAAAGATTGAAGTCAATCCATTTCATTTTACTCAAATCCACAATCCACATCCATTGTAGCCATTGTTGTTGTTTTATGTGCCATCGAGTTGTCTGTGACTCATAGTGACCTATGTACAACAGCTCTGAAGGCTTCCCTGTCTAGAGCCAGTCTCACTGATTCTGGCACATCTACCCCCATTGCCCCAGTTACTATATCAATCAACTTCATCTGGGGTTTTCCTCTGCTGCTTCCAAACATGATGTCCTTCTCCAAGGACCAATCCCTCCTGGCCATTTGCTCAAAGTATGTGAGACACAGCTTCAAAATCCTATCCTCCAAGAGAAACTTGTTTCACCTTCTTCAAGACAGACCTGTTTGTTCTCTTGGCAGTCCATGAATTCTTCTCCAGCACCACAACTCAAAGGAATTAATTCTTCTTCTGTCATCCTTAGTCTTTGATCAGCTTTCTGATGCATAGCAAGTAATTTGCAAAGACCTTGGCCTGGATCAGGCACACCTTAGTCTCTAGATTGACATCGTTGATTTTCAGCACTAAGGAGAGGTCCCTGGCATCAGATTTTCCTAGTGGAATTTGTCTTTTGATTACTTGACTGCTGGTGCCAAGAATGTTGATTGTGGGGCCGAGCAAGCTGTAATTGTTAACGACCTTAATCTCTTCTCCATCGATCATGGTGCTGCCAATTGACCCAGTGGTGAGATCTTTGTATTCGTGATGCTGAACTTCAATCAATGTGGAAGACTATAGTCCTTGACCTTCTGCAGCAAGTGCTTCAGGTCCTCCTCAGCCTTAGCAAGTGAGGTTGTGTAGTCAAGAAATCAAAAGAAGTGTTACATTGGGGACATCTGCTGTCAGGGACCTTTTTAAAATGTTAAAGGGCAAGGATGTCCATTTAAAGACTAGGTGTGCCTCATCCAAGTCATGGCATTTTCAGTTGCCTCCCATGTATCTCAATGCTGAACAATTAATAAAGTAGACCGAGAAGACTCAACGCCTTTGATTTTGTGGTGTTGGAGAAGAATATGAAATGCCTGATGGGAAACCAAAAAGAACAAACAAGTCTGTCTTGGAGAAGTGCAACACAGACGCTCCTCAGGGCAAAGAGTGAAACTTCATCTCATATCCTTTGGGCACATTGCCAGGAGAAACAAACCTGTGGGGGGGAAAAACCATCACGCTGGGGAAGATGAAAGGTGAGAGAAAGAGAGGAAGACCTTCAACAAGATGGACCGACACGGAGACTGGAACAGTGGACTCTGGCACTCCGGAGATCATGAAGATTGTGCAGGATGGGCTAGGTGCAGGTTTGTTTTTCATAGATTTTCTATGAGGTATGGTCAACTCCACAGCACGAAACAACAAGAAGCTTTCCGAATAGGATTAGGATGTGGTGATTATTTTCAACATTGACGTAAACGTTCTTCTGTTTACCAGGCTATACTGTACATTATGTCTCTATGTGTGTCACTGCTTTTAGGACGGCTTTTGGAAGGATGTATTGACTGATCAGGAGAGGACACATTTCCCAAAAGTCTATGAATTAGTGTTTCTCATCGCTCTCAGCTACCGTGGAGAAGTCTCTGGAGATGAAGGTTTCTGGGAAGATGTCTACGGAAGGCTGCGGAGACCACCTTTCAACAGCTCCATCTCCTCCAAGGAGCAGGTCTGACACAGCATTTCCTCCTTCCAGTCCTTTCCTAGGGGGATGAGATCTTTGTGTTTGCCCTTTGTATTAGCCTTCTGCTCTGCCACAGACTTACAAGCTCTTCACCTGTATCCACATCCCAAAAGAAAGAGCACTTTGACTTTCTTTTGTGAAATCTACAGCCTGGACCACTGATGGGGGACAGAGGTTATTGGATGAAAGGCTACATGACCTTTGCATGGAAATCTGAGGCTCCCATCTTGGTTTAGTTAGTTACTGACCATGGGACCTCTGGGTGGATTGATCAACACCTTAACACGTCAGTCTCTTTACCTGTAGAATGGGACAAACAATGGCCTCAGACTCCCAGGCTTTGGGTTTGACTGTCTAATAACAGACTCTACATGAAAATAGCAGAGGTGTTACTGGCAGGAGGTTGGGCCAAGACAATTTTCTTTCCTAGAAAGATCCCTAGGGAGATCCTGACCCGGATGGAGTTGCATTACTAACTCAAAGGTTGTGCTTCTCTGAATTCTAGTTTGAATTCACTAACTGCTTCATGGGAGAAATACAGGCAACTGCCTCCAGTGAGATTTACAGCTTTGGAAACTCATAGGAGAGTCAGTCATGAGTCAGGTCTGACTCAAAGGTAATGAGAGAGAGGAATTCCAGGACTCGAAACCAAAACAGAGTGAACAGAGAGAACAGAGTGAACAGAGTGAACAGAGTGAACAGAGAGATGAGGAGTACAAGAGAGACAGGGACAGGAGCAGGGAGAAGACAGCCAAGTGAGAGATTACCAGTCATAGGGTGAAAGGGAAACATTCTTGGCTCCTACTGAGAAGAAATGGGAATAAACACATACGTAAGGCCTACAACAAGCCTTGGTAGGGCGCGCCGCTGGTGTAACGTGTGTTGAGCTGCTAACCAAAAGTTGGCTATTTGAATCCACTAACAGCTCCTTAAGAAAAGAAAACAACACAAAAAATGGGCAGCAGTCTCCTCTTTTAAAGATTTACAGATTCTGGGGAGGGTTGGGAGGGGAGAAAGGTGCAACAATGAATGAATGGAAATCCAAAGTCTCTGTGAATTTTCATTGTAATTAATAGTAAATTTTAAAAAAGAATATAAAAAAAGAAAAGTGAAAGGGGAAAAAAGTTAAAAGATTTACAGTTTCAGAAAGCCAGAGGAGGGTTTCAGAATCAACTCAACAGCAATGGTGTTGTTAGGTGTCATCGAGTTGAGTATGACTCATAGTAAACGTATGAACAGCTGTTCTACACTCTGTCCTATCCTATGTTATCCGCACAATGTCTCATACACTCAAAGCCATTTGGTCTATGATTCCTTAAGAGCTCAGCTCCCAATCAAAAGTTGGCAGTTCAAACTGAACCGACCAGCTACTGTGTGAGACAAAGATGTCTCAGTATGCTTAAGACTGTGGAGGTACCATAGTGTTGTTTTAATGAACTTGTGAGTTGGCACACTTGCGCTGGCAAGGAAGATGGTAAGAGTCTCCACTTTTGTGGTTTCCCCCTACCTAGTGCTCATGCTCTATATAGAATTGTCATCGTTTCCTCCAAGTACTCTTTGAAAGAGTCCATATTTTAGTCAGCTCTATGTTGACGTCTTCTGTACCTCTGCATTGGCACATGGATTTAAAAGTCATTTAATCGTGAGAGAATGGTGTTTGTGGTTCCCCCTCCCCCTTGCCCTTTGGGTGATGCAGGATGAAATCCCTGCCCTGTTTACCTCCAAGGTGAGGCTTCTCATTGATTCACTTCTAGAAGTGCTATACTTCTGAAGAACAAGGATGCACTAAATTTAGCAAGTTTCTAATAAAGTTAATTATAAATTATTTTGTTTTAAATGCCTAAATTTTTCTTTAAGTATGCTAAGGAGCAGAAATTAAAATAAGAATATTTCCTGCTAAATGTAACCAGTTTATTCCACAAAATATTATTTAATAAGACTGAGTTGTTGTTTTGTTTTTCTTAAAAAATTATTTCCATCCAATATTTAAAGACTTGAATTTTATTTAAACTTGAAAATGACTTTGCCTTAACTTTTGTATAAGACGGCTTAGAGTTAATGGAGACCGGCCCCCTGGGTTGGCATGAGTGGATGACAGAGTTACTCAGTTACTATGTAGATCTATTGTTGTTTGTTTTACTGAGTAAGCATACTGTAGTACAAGAACTAGCAGTAGATTTTGTAATATACTTTAAAGATCTTAAACAGTTGATCTTTTTTCAGATTATTGAAAACTCCTGTAAATGCAAATAGTCAATACTGTATTAAATATGTGCACTTGGAAGTGTGTGCTTTGCTTGTACAGTTGTAAATAATCAGAACATATTAAAAAGGTACCCTAAAGAGAAAAA